CCTGCAAAAATATATTTTGACAGGACACCGAAGAAAAAGCCATAAAATAAAAACTTTGAGGACGTCTGACCCCCTTTTTGCAACGAACTAGACGTCTGACGATTTACAAACGTTATCTGTAACCTTCAAACAGATAATGTGCAAAATTTCTATAAATTTTGAGCTTTGAGAAAACAGTTTAGATGCTTCTTAAAATTACAACTTTGCCCGCGTCCCAGAGCCAGCTGTCCCGGAACTGTGAGTGCTGACTGTACACTAGCATTCTAGCACTAAAGTACGACCTATTTTGAAAATATCCGCCTTGCGAAAACTCTTGCATGTTTTTGACGCCAGCTCCCCAACTAACAGTTGTGAAACAGCCATACAATGTGTGATCGATGAGTGGAAAAATGACTTAGACAACAACTATGGTATAGTTGCAGTTTTCTTGGATCTTCAGAGAGCATTTGAAACTATCGATAGACAGAGACTGGTTGAGAAATTGCATAAACTGGGATTGCGTGGAAGAGTATTGAAATGGATTGATAGTTACCTGGTGGATCGTAGGCAAGTAGTTAGGTTGGGTAGGGAGATATCAACTGAGAGAACTAATAACTATGGTGTACCTCAGGGCAGTATACTGGGGCCGGGGCCTTTATTGTTCGTCCTATATATCAATGATATCGTAAATGCGGTGCATCCTCCGGTTAATGTTCATCTGTTTGCAGATGACACTCTAGTATACTCTGTATCTAAGAATGTGAATGAATTGGTTGAAAGTACTAATAATGCTCTGGATAATCTGTACAATTATATGTGTGTGAATAAGTTCAAGATAAATGCATCAAAACCAAATCTATGGTTGTCATACCAGAAAAAATGAGAATAGGTAGAGTAGAAATCAATCGAGAAGAAGCCACACGCGTTATCGTTTATCTCACTTTAAATGGGACGGACCCGGAGAAAAGGAAATCTGCTTTCTTTGTCAGCTCTAACGACAGTGGCTTCTTCTCGTTTGATTTTTACTCTATAGGTATCCTATTGAGATTGTTAAAAAAATTAAGTATCTGGGAGTAATAATTGATGATCAGCTGACATTTGGGGAGCATGCTAAATCAATTATAGGCAAATTAAGCTACAATATTAATCATCTAACAACTTGAGTTTCTGGACTAAAGTTGTTATACATAAAATACTCGTACTACATACCACATATTAATTATTGTGAAAGTGTTTTGTTTTTGTTAAACCAGAATACATTAGGAAGAATACAAAAAATGCAGAATCGTACAATGAGGGTGATTTTGGGATGTAACAGATACACTTCAATCCGTTCTATGCAAGAACGTTTGCAATGGTTGCCGGTTTCTGAATATGTTAAGTACAGTGTTATGCAGAGCTGGGAGTAAGGACAAAAAATAGTTACTTTACTTTAACGAGTTACTGAAAGTAACGCGTTAGTTGGTAACTTCGTTACTTTTCAGATTGATTGATAAGTAACTGTAATGGCGTTACTTTCCTGAAGTCACTGCAGATCGTTATTTTGTTAAAGTAACGAGTTTCTATGATAGTAGCGCGTTACTATGAAAATAACGCGTTTATATGGAAGTAACGCGTTACTAGTTACTATGAAAGTAACGCGTTCTCTCAATTTGTTTATCTTCTTTACAAATAATTGACGATTGAGGAAAAGGAAAATAAGTAATCCAAAAACTTTCTATGTCAAAGAAAATGTGGGTAGTACAGAAAATTTGTTTTGAAAGCTCAAAATAATCGTTTTTGGGCGTAGCACGCGCCGCCTCTGCTCTAAAGACACTATATGCAGACTGGGACGTTTCAAGAAGCAGGTTTGTCCGAAACCAATTTCTCTATTTAGTTGCTTAATCCTTAATCCGTTTGCAACAAAACTCTTCCACATAGTCGGACTCACAAACTAAAAACATATTGGCATTTCGTATAGGTCTTATTTGATTCTTTGGACTGCTGTGTTGGTGAGACAAATTAAGGAATAACGTAATTTTCGACGTAAATAGTTATTTTTGAAGTAACGCGTTACTTTAAAAGTAACGATTTTTTCATTATAGCACCAAAAAATAAAAGTCTGGTCAAAATACGTTATTTTTGAGGGGAGTCGAGATTTATACAATAAATTGCCCGCTGTGATAGAAACATGTGATTCAATGTATAGTTTTAAGAAACAGCTGAAAGTTCATTTGCTAAGTGAAAATAATTTCTATGTAGATGGTTAATTGTTCTGATTTGAATTGATTTTTTTTTTAAATTGTTAACTTTATTGTAAGGATGACTGGATTTGTAGTCTACCTATAGTCTATGATTGTTAGTTTTAATAAGTAATGTGATTTTGATATTTTGTTTTAGATTTTAGAATAAGACGGAACCGGTATATTGTAACATAGAATTAGTATATTGTGCTAAATAAATGACTAAATAAAAATTTATATTATTGTTTTGTAGCAACATCTTTTATTTATTTATTTATTTTTAACTTTATTTCAGATTACAGTAACATACATAAAAATATACACATAAACTATGAAATGAAATAGCGTCACAAAAAAGACCATACACCTAATGATACTCAGAACAATTACATTATCTTATATCCAGTTATATATAATTATTCAAATATTCTTGTATACTATATGGTTCCAACTCAATGAGTATTTTTTTCAGTTTACTTTTAAACATTTTTTCTTGTGTCATTATTTTTAATTCATTGTTTAGTTTATTGAAAAGTTTTATTCCCATGTAACATGGACTTTTTTCCAATAATGTTAACCTGTGCCTCGGAAAACAAATATTATTTGCTCTAGTGTTATAATTATGACTAGCATCAATAGCATTAAACAATTGCATATTCTTGAAAGTAAATAAAATTGTCTCATAGATATATAGAGCGTAAATTGTCATTATCCCTTTTTCCCTAAATATTCCCCTGCACGATTGTAGGGGGGACATTTTATACATTGTTCGTATTGTTCGCTTTTGAATAACAAATATATTTTGTGCCCTAGAGTTGGATGCCCAAAAAATTATACCGTATCTAACAGTACCTCCAAAATTTGCAAAATACAGTGTTCTACGCGATGTCTCATTCATATACCCTAAAACAGTGCGAATGCAAAAGCAAATGCTATTCAACTTATTTTCTAGGCGCCCAATATGGAAAGACCAGTCTAAATGTTCATCCACATGTACGCCCAAAAATTTGGTATCGTTTTTTAATGTAAGTTGATTTCCGTTGACTGAAATATATTCAGGTTTCTCTGTTCTGTTTAACTTGGTTCTGAATAGAATAGCATTTGTGTTCCCTGTGTTTAGGCATAATTTATTTTTCTTGAACCAATTTTCAGTTTCTGGGAATAAAAGAGAAGTTTTTTCAACAATTTTCTGCAAATTTGAGTCACTGACCAGAACATTTGTGTCATCAATATCTGAGCATTCTGTGTTGATGTCATTCATAAAAATTATAAATAAAATCGGTCCCAGTATACTGCCTTGGGGAACCCCTACTGTATTTTGCATAATCTCTGATTTATATGAAATTCCGTTTTTATGAAGTATTACTCTTTGTGTTCTTTTATTTAAATATGAAGCAAGCCATTCAAGTGCACGTCCCCTTATACCATTTATTTCCATTTTTTTTAGCAAAAGATCTCGATCTAAGATATCAAAAGCTTTTGACAGATCCAAGAAAATACCCAGGGCCAAATTTCCCTCCTCCAAGTCTCTCAAAATTGCCCGAGTAAATTGAAATATTGCAGTTTGTGTTGACTTTCCTTCAATATATCTATGTTGGTTTTCTGATAGAATATCACTTTTGAAAAATTTACAATTCTTTTACACATCACAACTTCAAACAACTTGTAAATGGGAAAAAGTGACAATGATGAAGTGACATTGATTTTGAAATAGCTCTTCAAATAGACTCAGAAAAATAGCTATTTATACAATAAGTTACGAAATGAGCGTCTTTTAGGCACGCGACGTGAAAATTGTCCAACGAGGCAAAGCCGAGTTGGACAACACGTCGAGTGACTAAAAGACATCGTTTCGTAACGTATTGTATACAAGATTTTTTCTACTGGCATTTTATAATAAAAAAACATAATTTTATTTCATGTGGATAAGTCGATTACGCCCAAAATCTTTGTTACTTGACACCTGACACTTTTCATGCAATTTTTTTTTCAAGATTCGACATCAATAATTAAAATCCTAGAAAGTAGGTAACAACACAAAGTTCTGTTTTGAGTAACCCAAACGTTCAATTCAGTAATTCCATTTTCAATATTCATAATAAATACAAAACAAAATTCAAATACGTGTTAAGTGTGTTTTTTATTTCTAAATAATGAATGACACTTTTAGGCACTAGTGCTTAAAAATTAGTTTTACGCACTCAAAAGTCACTTTTACGCATTCAAAAGTCACTTTTACGCACTGAGTGCCTAAAAGTAACTTTCACGCACTCAGTGCTTAAAAGAATGTCGTTTCAAAACTAAAATGACAATCGAAAAGTTGCTATTACGAAACGTCAGTAGAAAAAATAAATTTCGGTTTTTCCCGAATATCTTCGGAAGTATTTGGCATTTATCAAATTTCAAAACGGCATTTTATTATTCATAAAATTGCGCAACTTTGCCATAATTTAACCGACCTCGTTTCTCTTATAGGTTCCGATATCCCAATGGTCACTCTCGAATTTGGGACACCCTGTACATGATGGCCTACTAGATCAGATTATCTGATAATTTTGGTGTCAAATTTACGCTTTATATGCTAAAAACTGGTAGAAAAATGCCAAAATCTCAGAGCCATTTTGGTTATAAATAAATGTATGCCCTCCGAGTCGAGTAATCCAGAGCTTTCTCATCCTCTCTACTGGAGAATGACTAGTGACTGGGAAATTGGGAATGGTCAATATTGGTGATATTTTTTGTTGACAACCATAAAATCAAAATCAAAATTGCATAAATTTATGTGGAACACTTACCAACCTTCAATTCACTGTTTGAGATGTTTAAATTATGAAAAATAATCCATTCTACTGAAAGAAAAAAGAGCAAAAATAATCTCCATCATAAACCATCCATAGCAAATCTCAGCGGGAGTCTCATGTTCTTTGTTTTTTTTTTGACATTCCGTTCGTTTTGTTGTTTTCCTGCCTCCTTTTGATCAATGTTCAATTTCCCGTGTAGCGTAATGCTTTCCTTGTCTAGTAATAGGTTTGTTCACACAGAAAACACAAACCAGTTAGAGTGAATTTCATTAGTTCTTTTCACGTGGCTCCGGTTTAACTAACCGAAACCGGGTTACAAAACGGTTAGAGAAATGACATACCGTTTGCTAACCCGGTTACAAAGTGACGTGATGGATACCTACCACTCGAATTTGAGCGGTATGTTGCGGTTTGTTAAACCGGAGCCACGTGAAAAGGGTTATTGGTTGAAAACAGTATAAGGGCGGGTATTATGAAACTGCTTTGACAGTTAACTTGAAGTTAACTTTTTGAATTACATGTAATTCCGGAAGTTAACTTAAAGTTAACGCTCAAAGTAGTTTTAGAATACCCGCCCTAAGGGCGGGTAATATAAAACTGCTTTGACAGTTAACTTGAAGTTAACTTTTTGATTTACATGTAATTCCAGAAGTTAACTTTAAGTTAACTCTCAAAATAGTTTTATAATACCCACCCGAAACTGTCAGAGAACGTTTCAATCATTCTTGGTTTCAACCAATGAAATTCACTCTGACTGGTTTGTTATTTAAAGTTTGTTTTTTATTTAAAGATAATTCCCCAAGTCAAAAATTTAGTAACTATGTTGGCAACACAAGCCTTTTCTACATAAAAAATTTGAAAGCATTGACAATTTTACATTGTATTGCCAACATAATATCATTTTGACTTTTATCTTTAAAAAAAAAACAAATTTTATTTTCATTTGCCTTCACTTTTATAGCACTTTCGACTTTTGCTTCAAAACTGCACCCGATCCGATCCGATTGATCAAAAAGCGATGAGAACTGGATTCACATGCTCGGCTTAAAACGAATCGTTCTTCTCGGGAGATTCCCGTATTCGACTTGAGCAATGGAGCGCTCTTCAGAGCGATCTTTCTTGCTCCGTCAAATTCGATGGATCTAAAGTCTTAGGCTTAATTCTCACTTGCGCGAAATTCGCTCTTTTTTGACATTACTTCGAAAATTTGACGTTTGATACACGCATTAAACGCCAAATTGTCGAAGCAATGTCAAAAAAATAGCGAATTCCGCTTAAAAACAGCGAATTTAGCGTACTCGATTCAAAAGTTGTGCATTAGTACGTAAAACGATCTGTAGAATCCGAAAAACAAAAAATATACAGGGTGTGCCATTTAAACCGGAAGTCAGGAAAACTTGTCAAAAATGTATAAAAATGGCGTTTGGTTAGAATATCATTCCTACCAAGTTTCGTTGATATTGATAGGCAAATAAAAAAATGGCAGCCGGAATGTGATCTCGTGGGCACCCGGTATAATATGATGAGTCAGAAGTGGCGTGATGATTTGTCAGGGTGAATAATGTAAATGTAAACAGGGGATTGAGTTTAGTGGATGTTTAGCTTAGCAAGAAAGCGGTCGAATTAATTTTCAGTGATGTCATCACTTATTGACATACCGCCCCCTAACCGTTTTGTTACCCAGTTAGCTTAAACCGGAGCGACGTGAAAAGGCGTATTGCCTTGTATCGCGATAAATGTGAAAGAAGAGCTTATTCATCTTCCAGACCTCAATGATCCAAATACTTCAAACAGCTGTTCTTAATAGTCGTCAAAGTGCAGAGAGAGATGCAAAGCCCTTTTGCTTGTTGGTCCTTCCTGGCACAAACTCTAGCGTAGAAACAATTATGCAGCCACCGTTCCAGTGTGTTTGTTTAGTTCATTGAACCAAGCATAATCTTTTTCCGGATTATGTGATGTGTCATTGTGTCATACTCCCCTAACTTCCCCACCATTAAATTCTGGGATACTCGAGGATCAAGAACACCTAATTTCTTCTATTAGAACAGACCGAAAATCGACTTTTCTACATTTAAAATCGACGAAAAAATTAACTTACTAGCAAAGCCTGAATAGCAAGCATTCCATCGAGGGCTGCGGGTGACGTCATCACTATAAGCTGCTGATAGTGACGTCACCCGCAGGCCCAGAATTTGATGGAGAGGGAGTTAGGGGAATATGACACAATTGACACATCACATAACCCAGCATAATCAGATTATCCCTGCCTGATTATCCTCGCCAAAAATTGTCTTTATTCATTGTGAATCACAGTCACTCTGTGCTGCTGCTGGTTAAAATGGTTTAAATAGTGTTAATAATTTCCCACGAATCGGGAAATTTTCCACGTGATGCAAAATCAAAACATAAAAGATATGGAGATAACAAATGTCACAATACTCACAATTCGCCTTGGTTGAGGCGTTTCTTAACCCAGTAAAGTCACTCCAACTACCCGAGTAAGATTTACCAGGTAGAGTGAAAATCAAAGGAGAAGCCAGTGACGGAATCAAAACCTCGGTCCTCTTGCTCTCTTCCCTTTCTCTTGAGACTGACATCTAACATCACTAAAAGCCAGTGGAGGGGTGTCGGTTATTTTCATATTCTATAACAAGTGCCACAACGCCAAGGCCAGCGATAAGATTTATAAATGAGTCCCTGCGCATTTTTCGTCACTGGCTTCTTCTCCTTTGATTATTACTCTAGAATATAACCCAGGTTGTCTAATCGTGAATGCTTCCCAGGGTACCTGCACGGTTGTAACCCGAACGCAAAAGGGAGCACGGGGGGAACACTCTGAGAGCTAAACCGAACAGAATCTTATCGTTTCGAGCGCGCTCGGAGTTCACCCAGTGTTTTTATATTTGACGTTTGTTTTGGGTGAGTTTGGCAACATGGTATGTAGTCCCCGATTTTTCTTTGGGTGTTTGCACAAGTTTGTTTGTAGAAGTGATCCTGTGGTGTAGTTCTCTGACTTTACTGTGATTTTTTCGGAAAATCTGGCTTTTCTGGACGATCCAGGAATTTTGGTAAGTTTGCTTATCAAATGTATAGTCTGCTACACTTATTTGAAGAAGTTGGAAGCTTTGAACGGTTACAGAATCATGAATGTGTAGAATGATATTTTGCAATAGCAATGGCGCCATTGCTTTGATTTCTTGCATTGTAATGGGGCTGAGTCAGCAATTTATAGGACTCTTGATGGTTTTGTATACATATACATATACCACATATGCCTACCAATGCACCAAGCGTGATGAATCACTGGTTTTCATGTGTTAAAACGATAACTTCAATATTTTTATATTTTTCTCGAGATTTCTGTCAAAGGTGGCTTGGGGAAAAAGAAAAACAAAAAACAACAAGCAATATCTTTAGCCCTGAGCCTTGTTGGCAAAATTCAACCTCATTCTACCTTTTAGTAGGTGCCCAGCTTGGCGCCTACCCAAAATTCTATTTTGACTGCTTCAATCTTTCCAATTTTTTTTTTAAATAATTTTTGCTTTGGTCACTGTTCCACTCGGTCTACAGGTTTTAAAAATGTCAACAAACAACTTCCAGTTAGCTGAGAGAAGTGATTAGACTTGTGATTAGAATATTGGAAATATTGCTGAATTTAAGAATTATCATGAAACGAGTCATGAAACATGCATTATTGAAAAATGTATAAAAGTCTCAATGAAAGTAGGTATAAGTTGAGATTGTTAAAAAAAAAAACAAATTGCCAAACCTTTAAAAAACGCTTGAAAAATCAAAAAGCGTTCACCCATGTAGGTAGGGTTGCCACCTTTTGATTTCCGAAAACCAGTACATAATCGAAGCTAACTTTTTTTTGTAGCATAATTTACACTCATCTGTAGAATGAATTTTTAGAAAAAAATTTAAAAAAGGTATCTTCTCAATTTCAAACGTCACCCCTCGTAGTTACGGTCTATTTTAAAATTAAAAAAAAAAAAACCAGAGACACTTGTAAGTGAACAGGGAGAACGACACAATACATACATAATTATTTATTTTATTAGGCAGAAAAGCACGATATTTAATGCCGCGACTAGTTTTTCATAGCCGAAAGCGAAGCGAGGAAACCAACCAAGGCATTAAATCTGATCTTTTGCCGTGTGAAACATATAGGTAGTACATTTCATTTTTTCTCCGAATTTGTTAAACTTTCACGCATAATCTACTTTTTTATGTTTATCAATAGGGTCATTCAATGAAATTTCATTATCACTGTTTTTCACATTTTCAAGGAGTATTACTCACATATAGCACGTAGAAAAAATTTCAGCTTAATTGGATAAATATTGAAAGAGTTACGCGCTTTTTAATATTAAAACACTTTTGCCTCGGAAATTCATTGCTATGACGTCATAGCATCTCTCCAGTCGAGACCGGCTAAAGGCCGTCACACACGGTTTTGCATAACGCAATTTCAACTGATTTTCCACTGACAGTTTGGCACACAGTTTGCGGAACTATGCAATATTTTTAACTTTCCGTTTTGCATGCTACTTCCATAATTGTGCTCATAAAATATTGAAACTCAGAGAATTATTCAAATATACGAAATGTGATTCAAAAGAAAAACATCGAGTTTTACCAGAAACATGAAATGCCAAACTGAAACTTGTCTAAACGATGCTAAACCAAAACTTGACGTCAGCGCGTGTTTCAAATTTGGAGTATTTTGATAATTTATTTAAATATGAACAAGGGCTCAGAAAACTATGAAATTTTGCATAACTGCTAAACTCAACACGCTCTTTTAGAATATGTAATAAAAAAATATGCTGTACGAGCCTATTGCGCTGATAACGTTTGTTGAATGGGAAGCAACGAACATTTCTGCCTAGGAAGAAAAAGTCCATTTTTCTGTCGCTAACTGGAAACCGGAGACGTTTGTGATACACCCGTTATTCAAGAAGTAGGAACGTTCAGAAATTAGTTAGGTATATCCTAAGGCGTTCGGCAATCGCCTTTATAAATTTTATATTAAGTATTAATTATTATTAATTATATAGTTAACCAGATATTCCCGGACATTTTCATCATGCGTCCGGACACCGGACAAACCTTTGAAAACCCGGACAGTCCGGGTGAAAACCGGACAGGTGGCAACCCTACATGTAGGTAGCCAACAAGTGTTAATTTTTTGATTTCACATTTTGTGTAAACCCCTTTTAGCAGTTTTGTTATTTTATGCTTATGTTTATAGGGGTGCATATTGGGATGTGTATGTCCTGGGGTATGTGGTATGAATTATTGAACTAAGTATTATTTCATGAAGTTCAAAAGGGAAAAGGTAGAGTGCTGTGAACTTAGATTAAGTCCGATTTTCATAGTGCCTACTTGAGTGCTGAGTATTCCTTAAAGGAGACCTTGGCAGTAAATTGTCTTGCTTAGTCAAAATTGTCAAGGCGTCGTTATCGCCGTTCCTGCGTATTTTAGCACATTTCCTCCCTTGACTTGAGGAATGTCCAGAGGTCCCTTCAGACTGGCTTTCTAACCTATTTCTATAAAAAATTTCATGTAATTGGTGACAGAACGTGAACTGTATTTCATAGATATGCAAAGTTTATTATAAGTACCTATTGTAATTAGTATGAATGAGCTGGGAAATTTATTTGTAGAGATAATGTTGCTGATGATGATAACTGGGTGTGGCTAAATTCAGCTGGTATAAATACCATTGTACTTGCACGCAAAAGATGTGGCAAACACAGCTTGTATTTTTTTAAATGGAACATCCTGTATATTTTTGGCTAGAATGATAGATTTTTTTCTTCTAATTCTAAATATACCATACTTACATGTTAATATTTGGTTCAGCTGTTCTTACACTGTTGTTTTTAAATAAAACGACTCGTAAATAAATTATTTTAAACTGCCGTGTTTATTTTGTTGTTAAAAAATCAGAAGTAGTTATCAATCATAATTCGAACGACAGACATGACAGACAGACTCGTCCTCTCCTTGTTCATTTAGGCGATTTCTTTTTTCCTGTCCGCTGCGTTCCGTCGTACAATATAAAAACAACAGATTACTCTAAAGGTGCGTACATGTGATCAAATATATAACAAAAATTGAATTCAAAGAAAAATAATAAACAAATTAACCAAACATGCCCCCCGCCTTGAAAGGATCCCTTTCAAAATACATTAGGCTTTTTTTTTTACATATTTAAAGGGGCAAAATGATTCATTTATCAACAACCTATATCTAACACGACACAATTTTTATTTTTCACTTGACTGAACTGCTGACACACACAAATTGTCCTTTTCTTCAGGATCGATGGGAAGAGGGCACAGTTTAGAAAACGCTCTCTTAATAAGTCCACCTGCTGTGCGTATTGTCGCTACTCTAGCGACATTATCGGGTCCAGGATGAATAATAGCAATTCGACCTAACTTCCAAGCTAATGGAGGAGCTTGATCGTCCTTAACCAATACCAACGTATTCACCTTCAATGTCTGATGGTTAGTTTTCCACTTAACGCGGTGCTGTAATTCTTGCAAATATTCTGTGGACCAGCGTTGCCAGAAAAGTTGCTGTATTTGTTGCACCTTTTGGTATCTAGAAAGTCTATTTTCATTTATATCCATTACATTCGCATCTGGTAAAGACGTCAATCTTCGGCCAATCAAGAAGTGTGCGGGTGTTAGGGCATCATAATCAGAGGGGTCAGAGGATAATGGGACCAGTGGGCGAGAATTGAGGATTGCTTCAATCTGTGTTAGCACTGTCATCATCTCTTCAAAGGTTAATTTTAAGTTTACCGGTAAAATGCGCTTCAGATGAAACTTGAAAGCTCTTACCCCTGCTTCCCAAAGTCCACCGAAGTGTGGAGCGTGAACAGGTATAAAAGACCATTGAACGCCTTCATTCGAAAATGATTCTATAAGATCGGACTCATTGCTTTCTAAAAACTGTCCTAGCTCAGCCAGCTCAGACTGTGCTCCGACGAAATTTTTGCAGTTGTCCGAATAAACTCTCTGAGGCTTACCCCGACGTGAGGTAAAGCGTCTAAACATCGATACAAAAGCTTGAGATGTTAAGCTTGTAACCAATTCAAGGTGTATGGCACGTGTTGTGAAACAAACAAAAACTGACACGTAAGCCTTTATTTCTATGCCTCCCCTACTTTGCTTTTGCTTTAGTAATATTGGCCTGGCATAGTCGCAACCAGTTGTAAAAAATGGTGGTTGAGGAATAACCCGATCTGCCGGTAATTGGCCCATTATAGGAGTGATAAATGCAGGCTTGGCTCTAAAACACTTAATGCACGAACGTACTGTTTGTTTGCTTAAATTGGTGCCGGAAATTGGCCAAAAAGATTCTCTTATTGACGAAAGTAACAACTTAGGACCAGCATGACCTAATTGCAAATGTTCTTCCCGAAACAGTATTCGTGTAATAAAATGGTTCGAGGAAAGAAGCATTGGGTGCTTCTGATTATAAGGAATGTTCGATAAATGCAAACGACCTCCAACCCTTAGTATCCCTTTCAAATCTAAAAACGGATTAAGTTTTTGAAGACTACTGTTTTTGGGTAACATTTTTCCTTGTTTTAAAAGTGTTAATTCGGTTAAAAAGGATTCGCGTTGAATAATTTTAACTAAACAACTTGTGGCTTGCTCTAACTCGTTAGGTAATAAAGGACCTTTAAAATAATCATTCTTGTTCCTTGTATTATGCAGAAACCTGAGGCAATAAGCACACACGCGTTTCAGCTTCTTAAACCGGGAAAACTTTTGAAACTCCGTGAAAGGTTCTAAATATGTGGATACATATGCAACAGTTGTTTTCCTCTTTTCGGGAAGGGGATCTTGCAATGATAGCTGTTCTTCTGGCCAGGACTCTTGGGTTTCACCCAACCAATTTGGACCTCGAAACCACAAACTATTTTTAATCAATTTACTAGGAAAAACACCTCGAGAAACCAAGTCGGCAGGATTTTCATTAGTTTTGATGTAATGCCACTGATCAGGAACCGTCAAGGATTGAATTTGTGAAATTCGGTTAGCAA